ATATATATACATATATATATATATTCATTAGGGCATATGGTGTCCCGTAATAAACTGTTCGTACCACATATTTTGCTGTGGTAGAAAAGTGTAGCTCATCTACACTACGAATATGAGACCACCCATATACGATTTGTACGCCACAAAAACTCTTGATGACACCGAGATTCGGCTTGTGAGATTTCTTCTTTGAAAGCTTATTTTTCCATCCACCTTATCCTTGTTCAGACGGATCCATCGGGCTGATAAGCATTTTCAAAATATTTCAGAAAAGTTTCATGCTTTTTCCAGCAACCACGGCGAGATTCCAGGCAACTGGTAATTCTCTAAGAATAGGCTATCAGGGGGTGCATTTCCCAGATTTTGGGTGTACCGATTGAGCAAATAAAGCGATGTGATATTTGCGTACATATGACAAACGCCGATTATAACGGTGTCCGAGGTCAAATATTGGAGATTCTAGTTCTAGTTCCAAGTTGAGCAACCTTGTGTTTTGTAAAGTGAAATCCGATTGCTGCTGGACAGTTGATTGTGAAAAAATCCGTCCAATACCAGTGGACAACCGCGAGGTGATTCAGCCCCGAAAAGTGCCTAGGATTGTTTAGTATTTTTACCCGAGACTTCTGTGTACTCCTTTGGATCAATAATTATTGTGTTCTGTAAAAGAAAAACCTCTGTCGTCGGTTTTCCTGGGAATTTTAAAATGATCATAGTGTATGAAAAAGCGGCTTAGAAGTCTTTTTCTAGGTGTCGTTGGAAGCTTACTACCCGAAAGATATGAGGAACAGCAGCAGGTTCGCTGCTGTTAGGGCTGTGTGCATGGCGCCACATGCTACGGCTGATGTTTTTCACAGCAGTCTCCGTCCAGAGTGTCTCGATGAGTATCGGGAAAGGTAGGCACCTCGCAGTGTTTGTGACAAAGTATTACTAGGTCCCTTCACATCCAATTTTATTCGTTTCTTCCTAATAAGGCCTTCAAACCAATTAATTTTTGCACGGCAGCATATCAACAGTGATATCATATGGTTAAGATGCTGTTATAAGCAGCCACCAATACTGCAGCGCTGCAGTGATTTTGTTCGAAAAACTCATCCGTTAGTTACAGTATACTCAGTAAATCTGACAAGGGAAATTATAGAGACAAGCTATCCGCGTACTAAGACCTACTCGGAAGAGTTATTGGGTGCCATATTTTGATATCAAAGTACACCTGGCTATTCTCCCATCATAAGTGCAAAGATCAGGTTCCTAATGCGCTGGTGTATGGTTGCAGTTTGTCGATATATGATGAAGATCAACCACTGAGTTAAAGTAGGTACGGGTCACACCGACCAATTCCGACCCAGGTCAGTGTTCTCAGTCAGTATCGTCAGAGTGCGGCTCCAGGAACGGCCACAATTACTATCCAAGTCTGTGCGTTTCTACATTCCTGTGTTGGGTTGCTTCATGGTTTTGTTTTCCCCCAAACTTGATGAGTGCAAAGATGTACTTGCTTATCAATTAAGGCCTAATTTACACCCAAGTCCTGAAGTGTTGTTTTTCAGCACAATAAAGCCAGCAGGTGTGCGATCGTTCACTGAGATAGGAAACCACGAATACATTGACAGGCAGAATCTCCAGCTTTCTCAGCTATGCCCTTGACAGCAAACGTTGTGAACTGCGAACAACTCTGTCCTGTTTTTAGATGGCAAGTAGTTCAAATAAATACAAATGATTCACCAATGCGGGACATCGCGCAGCCAGTTTGGGGTAATAGATCTCAGAACAAAAGTATGCTCGCCTGGGAGAATTAAATCAAAACCCACAAAAATCATCTGAGGAATGCTCATCAGAATGCATTATGTAATATATGACAGTGTGTAAACAGTAATATTCTCCTACGTTCAGATGCTGGAAAGGCTACAATGCTTGGCGTTTCTTTGGATGACTTGTAAAACTTAAGTTTCCCTACCACACTTGTGGTCAACTGTCATACGGCTAGGCTAATGGAGCATCCACCTAACAAAGTAGATTTTGAGACAAAGAGGTTATGTGCAATTTTTGCAGATCTGCTTTCCAACGAAGGATAAACGATGGACGTTAGGAGGATTACGCCGAAAAGTGTGAAAGATGTTGTTTAGGCAGTAATATCGTCACAAGAAACCGGACATTACCTGCAGACTCTACCAAACAGGACGAATGGAGAACTTGACTGAAATTCATCATGTTTAAAAATCTTCGAACGTAGAAGATTCTGCTCAATCAAGAGACATATTTCTCGTGAACAAGAGTTTACTACGCAGCGCTTGTACGCTCGTCATAATTCAGACTGAAATAACTTTGAGAATGTCTTCCGAAATTTTTACTCGATAAGTAATGTCCGGCTGAATTACCTTCCGACAGCTTTAGGTACGACAATTTCAGGCCACATTGAGACAATCTGTTCAACCATTTCACACTATAAATTTGTCATTTGGTTTCAGCTATAATGGCGATGGGCACTTGCTCAGCCTTTTTCTACTGCATCCACTTCAGCCTGATGATCTCACACATTCCAGCCGTAATTTGCCCGCAACCACAGTACATTCCGAGCCAAAATGCGACAAATGCTACGCACGACAATCCGTTTATAATAAACAAACCTCACAGCTCAATCCAGAATATAATGACAGACACTCAGACAGAACTTCACTGGCAAAGCCTTGTCAAACCAGCTAAATCGTTCAAAAGGAAATTGCTGCAGAAAATTGATAAAGCTTTTCCAGGTCGACACGCCCATCGCACGAACAGCACAATCTCGATGGTTCGAAGAAAGCGAAGCATGGCGTTGGATATGGTACGCGTAAAGCTCCAAGCCTTTATTTTTGAAGTTCAACTCAAACGGCCTGAAAGTAATGCGGATGCTATGAGCCAGCTTCAGAAGTTCATGAATGCTTATCCACATCTAATGCTAGACCCGGAATACGCGGAGAAAATCATTACTGGCTACAACCCTTTGGTTATTCAAGAAATGGTTTGTGAAGAGTTTGAGAGCATCCGCCCATCGAAGTCCGTGGCGAATAGCTTCTTCATTGTAAATGACGTGGGCACGTTTACTCCACGACATCTGCATGATCGCCTACATCGGCTACTATTTCAAATAACGGCTGCTCTTGGAATTCCATCCATTACATGGCTTCCGAATCGGGTGGGGCAGTTTGAAGTAAGTCGCCACCTAGTTCGCATTTCACACTAGTTACTAATGCCCATAACAAGTGAATTCACACCATGATCACAGGATAGTTTACGGGCCTAGTAGGGGCCTGCAATGCACTTGAAGGACGCCTGCTAGCCCCAGGTGGTTTTTACGCAGGTTCCGCCTCAGTAGGTGGGTGAATGTGTCCCGTCAATGTACGAACCTGGGAAGCAGAAATGTTAGACATTTTGTCTCTGGCTTATGGGCGAAACAACACGCCGGGGATGCACCACTCTCCTCTGTTAGAAGCATGTTGCGCACGCCGAGTGAATGTTCTAGCAAGTACACCACATTGGGACTTGTGCATAATAGCGCTTTGACAATAGCAAGCTAACGACAGATAGGGCTGAAGTCTTGGTCGACCGGTTTGATTGCAGCGCGTGGCTTAAAGCTGGTAGCTAACTACCAAAGGGTTAAATTGGATGGGCAAACCACCGAGTTGTAATGACCTATCCAAGTATATGATGGACCAAATTCGGTCTCCTAAAGAAAGATCTTTCTCACAAACCCCCAGTAACCGTGTCTGGTAATTACCTGCTTCCCCTTAGCCTACATACATGAACATTCATGTCACCAGAAGCTACAGCAATGCTTAAGCTTTTAACTCGGTGTGACAAAAAGCAACGATGAAGCCTGTTCCAGGTGGATTCAGGTCTAAAGTTTATCGACTCACAAGCAGAGGCAATCAAAAGAAAGCTGCTCACCTCCATTCTTCAAAGTCCCCTAACAACCCTTGCCAAACGTGTCCGGCATGAAGACTACCAGTGGTATTTATTTAAGTGGGGACGCTCCTTTCCGATAGATAACACATTTCTAATCCCGGCATTTCCATTTGCAGCAGACTTCAGAAACTAAAAGAGGACTAGGACGCAGTCAATTATGTTACAGCTCTTCCATCCCGGTTCCCTTTTTCCGATGTACAGCAAACATCAATGCAGTGGTATCCCACTTGTTGCGTTGCTCGCTTCTGTGAGCAAATATTGAAGATGGCTGCAAGACCGATTTTTGATTTGTTACATGCTTTAAATGCTTCTTACTTTGACCTACTAATCAAAACAGATGTCTGTCAGAGGCATTTAAGGATCTAGTGTGCTACAGGCGCGAAAAGGATCTGTCTCAAGTAACTGACGGTTGTTCATAGGGCAACTCACACAAATTCACTAGATTTAGTCTAGAAACTCCGCTTTCGGATGTTAAATTTATACGCTTATTTGCTTAAAATAGGCCTTTTCTGATAAATAAGTTAAAGTGAGCTCTTTTGACGAGTGTTGTCCACTGAAAAAGGCCGCCATGTTGATAGTATCATCCTGACGCCAAATGTCGCTTTCCTGCTCTGAAGGACGTTGTATCTTCTCTATGGTCTATCCAAGCATTATTCATTCACCCATTCATTTGAATGCGACGTACGTGGGAAATTCCTCCACACGATGTATCATACTACCAACACCTCAAATGGATTTGCCGTTTTTTTCTCCCTAAATAATTTCATAGCTCGACGAATCACAGCTGGCAGTTCGGCTAGAACCTCTCACCTGGCACGTTTCGCACGCATTAGTCGATTTCATTCATGCGTTCAACTGGAATATTGTTATAATTGTCACAAACAAACTGGTGTCTGGATCTGCCACTCTACTGGAGGAAATGCGAAATCGTCAGAGTGAGCGCAGTGCACCGGATCACCCGAAATATTTCGAGTAAGTTGAAGATCCGCCAAAAATGGTACTAGTTTGCACATTTGCTCCAACTAGTCAAAAATATTACATCAATCGGATCTTGAGCAAACATGCAAGATTTCAGAACTTCTCATGGATGGCCAAAAGCAACCATTAGCGTATGCTCTGGGCTCAAGTTAGTTTGGTAAATTATCATCAAACAAACAAAGATGGTCAGTTAAGCTCAACCATTAATTCCACAAAAAAGTTTTTAATTCAATCAGTTCTCAAAAATGTCATGGTTAAGGTCTTCTTGCCAGACGGACTTTGAGCATATGTGCTGGTTCTATGCTTATTTCATACCTGAGCGCTCGAATCCACCGACTGATGCGCTTATATCAGAATTTTAGCACAAGGTTTACTGTCAACAACTTCAGCAGAACGTTTTGCATTTTTGGTCTTGCGTTTGGGGCCGCGAATTCATATCTTTTAGCGTGCTCAGCAGAGTATATGAATTCGTAAAATGTGATTTTCGATAAACGTAAGACAAGTTTACTGTTAGTTGGTCGGTCAAATTTTGGAGGAGACAATAATCCGATCTATGCTCTTGCAGGATGTGCCGTCAGTAAGGTAAATTGTTTCACTGCCCAAGCCGAATGCTACCACCAATGGACAAAAATTTGTTCTCTCATCTAGACTCTTGCTGTCATCGCTCACGAGGGTGTTTCGACTATCCATGCGGGCTGACATGATTAAAAATAGAATCCACATCAATACTGCTCGACTTACAAAGTATATTGCATTTGAAACCTATCCTTATTTCGCATTTCTATTGTTTTGCTATAATTTAGTGGTTTTCAGTCGAGGAATAGTTCCTAGTTTGGAGCAGGTTTCAGGCATTCGAAAGAGTGGATTAACACATTTTGTAAATCGCTGGCCAGTCCATTTAAATTGCACTGCGTACGCATGAACTGCTAGTTTTCGGAGTCACCGACTCATGGATAAAAACTCCGGAGCATTGTTATATTTGGTGACTTGTATGATCGCTAGAACCATTGCGTACTTGAAGTTCACATTCGAAGTTGAAGAACAGCGCAAGTGATTGAGGGATATTCAAATCGCTCTCATTTGGACGGTTTTTTCTCCCTCTTCTGACTAAATTGTACTGGTGAATCCACATTAAGAAGACTTGAAATCCATCAGTCATATAGATACGTTGTTCCGTCAGAACTTAAACTCTGTACGTATGACAAGTGAGGCGGAAGCATAACGAGTACTCCATCATCGCGCGTTTTATTGGAAAAGTCGTTGACAAGGCTGAAACGCGAACGCGTTTGGTTGTTTCGACGTGATGATGCAGATGCGTCCAAAATGCACTGGTTGAGTAGTGGGAACACACTCACCTTACGTGGGCGATGCGCTGCACTCATGTCCACGCGTGGCCAATAATAAGCAAAGCTGATGTGCTATATTGTGATCAAAACTCAAGTCCAGTGCTTCCCATTTTTCATGAGGACCCATAAAATTACGCCCTGCACAATTCCTAAAAAACCACTCTTGTGCCCTTCAAGAAACGTAGAAACTTTGTAATAAGCAGCACTTTTGACATTTCGTAGAGGTGACGCAAAATTGTGTTTCCATCATGACACTGGGCTATAAATCAAAAGCAAAAATTTGTACTAGCTTTAGGTTCTCCATTCTACTTATTGGTTAGACAACCGCTTGTTTCTGTTCACAATATCACCCCAAAATTTGGAGATGGTTCTTACCGCAGGAAATAGTCTATATTACAGACAAACTGGTTTAAACAATTGAAACTCCTCCCGAAGAAGGGTGAAATAGGATCGCCCATTTGGTTAAAAGGATTTTATAGACAAAGGCAGACCTCAAGCAGTCGATCACTCCAGTTCAGTTAAAAAGTGTGGTTGCCAAATTCGCCATCAATAGTAAGATAAATCAAACACAAATTGACTGTCACATTTTGGAATCACTTTTGTCAGCTAATATTAGGTTAAGAAGCGAATATGATGATGATGTTAAGGGGACCAAACAAACTTCAAACAAAAACCCAGCCACATGTTTATGGTAGAAAACATTCTTTTGGATTGATTAATTCCTTATCCTTTTGTGGATACCATTTGTTACCGTCATATGAACCAGTTGCAACATTGAATCACATTACTCCCCTAGATATCATTCTTGCATTTGCAACAAGGTGGTTGGGTGTTCGTGCGTACAAGAACGTTAAATGGGCTTTCGTCCTACGGTGGCAAACGCCTAATAGCCGGTTTCCCTACCCAGCCAGTTTGCATCGGAGCAAACATGAGCGGTGTGTGAAACGGATCACTTTTCCAATATTGCCTACTGTTTTGTCGTTTAATCTTTTTATAACCTTTTGCCGTACCGTGATTGTCTGACTCTGCCTAATACAAATTTTGGTGTCTAGAGAGATTTATTTGCTATTGGCCTAGTTCTGTGCTGTTGGTGAAGCAGGCAGACGCTAAATTACAGACGAAATAAATGTTATCTCTTCTGAGGTTTTTATCCCCCTTCAGGGTGGCATGCCCGGAATCCGAAAGTATTTCACAGAAACTCGCTGAAGGATGGGTTAATTTCAAGGCGACATATGCAGTATCAGGTCGTGACTTGCGAAAAAGTGGAAATCTCACTACTGATTTGTTACTCATGACTGAAGATTTTAATCATCATCTACCAGCGGCTCGGGTCCAAGTTCGAAGCACCCTGGGGTTTTCGTGAGATACGCACTGGTGGAGATTCGCAACAAGCATGAAACAGTCGCGCAGTTTTTCTGGGCATTTCAGTACAGACGAGTTTACCTTACACAACTAAATCTCCGTTGAAGTATAACTAATCACGTATTTCTTTCAGCAAGGCTGTGTAGAACCACAACAAAAATCTGATACTTTTGGAAACAAATTTTCTAATATCATGCGTTTACCATCCTTGGTGACTATTGTAGCCAGCAACTGTGAGGAACTGTAAAAGTAGTCAGTCCCAACGAATGTCCTCTCTTTCTGTTGGCAACATTGCAAAGGGGCATAGTTTGTATCTCCTGAAAACACACAACACATATCATGGTAAGAAATACATGTTTGGGAGTTTCATTTGAGTGCGCAGGTAGCCCGAAGCTGAGTTGAAAATGAATGTTATTCGTCAAGGTTAGACTTTCTGTTGTTAGCCCGATTTCACTGTAAAGGCCTAAAAGTGCCTCAGAGTTACTTTGGTCGTGGGCGCTATTCAATCGATTGCGATATGGCATTTTACTCTAGCCAATGTGATTCTATATGTTATATTTCACAGATGTCGCCAATGAGCCGCTGGATCTTGATTAGCCAACTTGGACAAGCGATTCATTTTATTTTTCGACAACACTATACCTTGTTCATGCCTGGATATTGGCTTACGAATGTACCGCACTGTATAAACTGATCCCTATAAATTGATCGATATCACAAAGACGATGCGCGGGCAACGGACGAACAGCAGAGTTGATCCTAATCAGGCTATCAGTTCGATCAATTTATCGGCTTTAAATCGTGCACCATAGGCACATTGTTTTCACCCGCTACATTTTCAAATACCTCACCAGAAGTACATAAAATGTTTTTTGAAGGACGGGAATGTGGCAAGCTTCCAAAAAGTGCTCAGTGAAGTGACGTAAAAGTAGATTCCATGAAACCTTGAAGAAGGCCTCAACGTTCTGCAGTGCAGAATCAAAGATCTCCAATCCAGTGTGTTTTACACAATTTTTAGTAATACTTTATTCTAAAACCAGCTGCTTATTTAGGTCCCCCAACTTCTTGTTTCTCGGATTTCTATGCACAACAATCATCAAATGGACTTTGAAATGGTGCAAGAGAAAGTCAAACTCACTTATATCTTTTCACTACGACTGAAGCCCAAAAACACAGAAAATATTCGTTTCTTGACTCGTGGTCACTTCGAAAGGAAATGGTGGAATCAAAACATCATTAATTCAAATGCTTGATACTACGACTGGAGCCCAAAACCACAGAAAATATCCATTCCTTGACTCGTGGTCACTTCGGGAGGAAATGGTAGAATCAAAACATCATTAATTCAAATGCTTGAACTGACCAGATACTAGCAGACAAAAGTTGGTTGCTGCGATGATGGATGAACATGTGACCTTCCACCAAGCCATTGTTCATACTCAGTTTAGTCGAGAATATCTGCGAACCGATCGCATATAGCTTGCGACTTATGGATAGTTGTGTTCGCTTTTTATAGAACATACCACCAGAAACCTTGACTGATACCAGTAGGTATCTTGCAACGCAGGTGAGCAGCAGTTTACATAGAAATTTTATGGTCACTCAGTTGGCTTCGCCTTTAACCTAATCATATGTGGTCCGTTGGTTAATAGATGTTGCAGTGCACTGTTAAATTTTGTCATCTGTTTTCCTGACAGGAGACACTGCTGTTTAATCTCGCCTTTACGTCATGTAGAGGGAGATAGAAAATACTCTATGTGTGACATGTCCTCCATCATATCAAGAAAATTCCCTTTCAAACATAACGTATGTCCTGGTGGAGCAGTTGGTCTGAAGCTGGTCGAGTAGTTGACATCTCAAAAAGAGATATTTAAGGATACACTGGAGTATCCTTGGGTATGTATATACGTTCTATTATAGCTAGAATACACGTTCGTGGTAGCATATAGGTTCCCATTGTTCACACAACCGGCGGTGACCAGTGCAACCAATATGAGTCATACTCACTATGGGGAGAACTTCCTCCAAGAATCTGCTCTGCGGCTGACAAGGATCCTGCTTAGGCTGCTAACATTATCGTCAGAGAGGATTTTCTTACTTCAAAGAGTAACCAAGAGTGCTGAGGATCTAGGCTTTATTGACTACAGGACTGTTTAGGAAAACTGACTGCGCGTACCATTTAGTTTTTTTTTGATAAATGTGAAACAAGGCTGCACAAAAAAACGCGAAGGTCGTTCTTTGATAGCCTTAAGCTTTTGCAATAATTCTTCCGCATAGATTGACACGTTAGATATCATTTCTTTACAATGTGGATTCAGAGATTTAAATCACCTATGGTTTTCAGCAGTCGGTCGGTAAACCAAACGTAAGTAACCTGATTGTGAACATTCCCACGAGCAACAGAGATCCCACACAAAAGGCTTGTTTCAGTGTCTGTCAATTCCGACGAAGAGATCTAATCAGTGGGGCAAACACTGTGGGGAAATAAGATTTTTGCCGCAGTTGATTAGACCAGTTTGGTAGCCTCAGCTTCTTGTAACGAGAAAAAAAAACAAATGTTGACAAATTTTCAGGTTATGTAGCATACCTATTGACGTTTTCTATTTGTATTCAAAAAGCTTTGAAAGAGTCAAACATGATCGTCGTTTGGGTCCCCTAACTCAGAACCATCTTGATTCCTTTGCGATGATTGATCAACAGCTGATATCTACTTTCAACCGTGATAATTCAGTTACCCATTAGGAACAGCAGAATACGATTGATTGTAATGATATTAGTTTCCATGTTCGAATCGATTAAGCTTTTCCAAAAGTATACTATATTTCCCAATTTAAATACCAACCTCACATGGACACCATTTATGGGCTGCTGAACAAACGTCAATGTTGGAAAGGTGATCCTTTCTGAAAAGGTTACAACCGTCAAAATGCACTTTGTGGTACTAAGAACGAGTGATTCTTTGGGAGTTTTTTTCATGTTTCTATCCATGTTAACCTTTAAACTAGAAAGCTACTGTCAGTGTGAATTCCCACCAATCAGTCAGGCATAGGACTTACCGGTCAAAATCGGCTCGAATCTCGTTAAACTGAATGAGCACCCCATGTTGTGTGGTGTGGACAATTTAAAGCCAAAACAGCGCGAAGGAATGAGATGGTATAAACCGACATTTCGGTTGCCTTGGTCAATCACTTTCAAGAATTTCTACGATTACTTGAACCCGAGTCAAGCGCACAGTCATCTGGGTTGGTGTGTTGCTGAGATCATTTCACAGTTAGAACCGACCTACGTGTGTAGCTGTGTGTTAGTCCTGTGTTCATGTACGCGTGACTGTAAGTTGACTGAGATGTGCTTCCGTTTGCCGTTGTGCCGGCTGCGGTGCGTCGTTTTTGAGATTGCTGCTTGATCTCTGGTCACTATGCCAACTAAGATGTGTGGTAAGTCCAAGCCAGATGGACGGAATGCTGGCACCATCACTACGGTTGATGTATTTCGGTTATATGGATCTCTGGCGCTTCGGCGCTCATCCGTTCCACATGTGACTTGAACCCTGACTGCAGTATAAGTGTGACATCGATGTTAATTTTATGGTATAACTGGCGTATTGTCTTCTGCAGAACTGAAGCAATTCGGTTTCGTTTTTCTCGTTTTAAAACGGCTCAATGCCTACTGGACTCTTCAGCCTCCAAGGGACTTACATGTGATTTTTCCATCCCCTCATTATTTTCAGGTTCGAAATAAGTCACCAGTTCGAATTTACTGGTCTCAACGCTACCGGGTTTACTAAGTGTATTAGGAAGAACGAACGTGTGCTCCGCTCATGCCTTTCGCCAATGTTGAACATTTTGCAAGAAATCTGGAAGGCTGATGCTCGAGTCGTGATATTCAACGGAGATTTGTAAGCTCATGATATATATTAATCTTGGAGATCGAATTCATCATTGAATTTTGTTGTACCGAAAAGACCTTGCATGAGATACTATACTGAACAACCAACCTGCGGAAGTAATCAGGCTTACGTGTACAACTAAGGCTCGGTTAGGGGCTAATTTTAGGCCTTGATAATTAACCTTGTCGCACCTACTAGGAACCCAACTTATTGTATTCTCGTTTCGGAGTATTACAGCAGACCGGTATCCAACGAGGAATATACACTGAGTATGGCGTTGCGCTCAAATGAGTGCTCGAAATAGAATAGGTTCCATGGAGCTGCGCAATGGATGAACGGTCTCGCACGAAGGCTTTGTTGAGGGAATTTAACGATACTTCCTTGTGACACCATCAAACACGTTAAAATATTCGGCGGTGGAAAACAGTGAACGCTCTTGAAGGAACATTTTGTTCGTTACGACTTGATTGCTGAGATAGACCCAGCTTCATTAATGTGGAATGTTCCAGCCCTACAGTGGTTTCTGCACAAAGTCAATGATAGGCATGCTCGGTTGTTACCCTGTTACTCGTTCTAAATGGATACTGGTTCTCGAAACACAGCAGAACCATTCCTCGATTAACTTTCCTTCATTCTGTTGATGTCTTCTCCTACTGTGGGAGAAATTGATGCAAAGCTGCGACCAAAAACGTGCGTCACGCAAGAGAGATCGCTCTCTAGAAGTGCACAATTGTGACCCTTCCTAATGTTATGCACTGTTAGGCCTGGCACATGTTTCTGCTTGCCAATCCTCTATATGTTCCGTCACATGGAAAACTGATCCCCGTTATGGTAAATTTATCCTACAAAGTGGGATTTTTCACTTGCAGTAATGCTGTCGAACCGTCAAGTACGCATGGAATGCAAGGCGTAAACACTGGTTTCTTGGAAAGAATGATACTAGGAAGGATGATTAATATCCTCTGTCTGCGATGAGAAATGTGTCAAATGTGTATTCTCTAATGCACGCTTACCTATGGCTTCAATCGTATGCTGAGTTCAGTTTTTGGTCACATTAGAGTAGCAAGTCAGCACATGTGACCCGTGATGTGGTTTGCGTGAATGAATTCTGAGCGGTGCCTTATCCTGTCAAAGTGCAATTTAATCACCCTGCCGATCAGCCCCACGTAGAAGGACGATTTAGTGGGTTTGAAAATCCGTGGAATTTCCTGAGGTGCTCACAGATGTTTGTTTCCAAAGTTGATGAAGCATTTGTAGATTAGCTGCACCCACAGGACGAAATCGTTATGAAAATTTCCCTTTTCTCTTCACACTAGAATACTATTGGATAGTACCTGAAGTCAAAATAGATCCCCTGAATGAATTAAAGCATATCCATTCGGAATTACTCAACGTACGGAATGTCACAGGACAGCGGGCGCAGTGAATTAAAAAAAGATATCAATTAACCCGCTTAGTAGTTGTCCTGTATAGACGGTGTTGCACGGCGTCATTATACGTGTGTAAACATGTACGAGCATCACTATAAATATAGAGCACCCTATTAAGGGTTCTATTGTTCTGAGAATAATTCATGTATTTTCGTATAAGTCTTCTTGAAAAGTGCCGAAATCCCAAAGGTAATTGCATTTGGTCATGGCATTTTATCTATATTACAAGCTGTGAAGGAGACTGGTTTCCACATCAACGCTGCAAGATACCTCTTCATGCCATTCATAAAGGGCTGTTAGAGAAGCGCACAAAACTTCAGCGCCGAAATCTACTCTGTTCTTACGATATAGAAACTTGGCCTCATCACTCATGGATACACGCGAACTCGAAAGTATTAACCGGTTACGTTGTTGACGCATTAAACATTCGACGGCTTGTTGAAATGTCGCCACCGGCTGTTTTTGCCCATCATATTTCAGGCAATCACTGCATTAGCAACAACTTCAAAGATCCAAACATGCTGCCCGGAAATCCAGAACAAAGTTATGAAAACTGACACGAGCTAAATCGCGATCCCGGGGATGGACTTCCGTCACGAAGGGTAGTTAGGAGGCCGATTCTGCACCATCCAGTAGAATGTGAATGGGATCGACCTCAATTCACCGTGGATTATTTGTATTTAAAAGCAAAGTTCGATCTCGGGCCTTGTGAAAACAAGGTTGAACTACCGTTCCTAAAGAATCGAGTGATTGATTTGATCCCCTATACAACTAAAAGTGGTTCCATTCTAAGGAAGGAGCTTACAAAAATTACTTTATTCTATTATGATTATAAAATAAACGTGTCATTTGGTTTAATCGCGATGCAACTTATAAAGCAAGAACATGCAATTTTTTGAGAATTTGTAAAAAAAGTCTTTATGTTTCGCACATCGCTGTTTGCACAGAGAAACTGTTTCCCACGGCCCTTCATTTTTCTCAGCTACGACCTGAATGCACTGCTCTACATAGCAGACTGCGTGACGAACAGTACAAGTCATTATCGTCATCTGAATGAATTGTTTGGTGAACGCTACATTTGGATCTTCACTCCATCCACAATGAGCTCTCTGACAGTAGCAGATAGTCAAGGCAAACACTCAATGGACAACAAAGTGTTGAAGGAATCCACTCTCTTCCGACGTATTCCAGGAATGTTTGGTAAGCTTACAGTTGTCGTTTTATAACTGATAACTACTTTCAAATACTTCTCCCACAAATACAAGCGGAGCGCTGCTGATATAAAAATCAGTCGTAAGAAACGCATGAATTTTAAAGTAAAATTCCCATCGTGTCTGTGGTTGGGACACAATTTACTGCTTGCCTTGCTGCTAATCGTCAACTGGGTGTCGGAACATCCCGTAGCAGAGCTAGGCAGAAACTTCAATCCGTTTCCGTGCAAACAAGCGGCTCAATTTTTCATCCGTATAATGGCAAACAGTTGGATTGGCAGTATGTATTCACTTCCGATGGGCTTTTGGTGACCTTTTTGCTCTGAACATCATTTATGGCTCCCTAGATGCCCCAACGACAATATGTTTCGAATCTCCAGCAAAGTTAAATTAGCATTCACGTTTTCGGAACATTTTCAATTGCGTGTCTTCCGACATGTATTACACTGTCTGAGCATGTCAGTTGACGCTCATATACATCATACACTTTCATTTCGGCTACAAAGGTGCAACAACTTTCATGCCAAGTTCTCAAGCTTTAGTTAATAAAACGGTGTTCCGCACACTTGCTCAAACCCTAAGGCAACTATTAAAGTCCGGTCAGATAATTTTGTTTGTATGCGGTGATTTTGAAGAGGCGAGCCTAAACATTTCCACAAATAACCGAGTATTAACTCAGGCAGGACGTAGTCAGTTTTGGTAAGCGCACAAGCCGTCCAACCGCTTTGTAGATTAATATAGATTTTCACATACACCCTTATGTAGTTTCGTACCGAGCAGCTACGCATGTATATCTAGACTATGAAGATAGAGCTATTACCCACGTGGTTAACACTTCATAGCGGAAAGCTCACGACTCAATCAGAGCCATAATTGTTGCCTGAAAAGCGATGCAGATTTGTGCAATCCTCGCGAAAAAGTCACTAGCCAAAATTTTCAATCATCCAGCTGAAACACCTAAAATTCATGGACTTTGGCTAATCATCTAGGGACTTATTTTACACTGCGGTGGGAGATAACATCATCCAGGCACGCAGCACTTTTCATGTAATCTGAAATCAGCCAGCTTATTCAGTTTACGTGGACCACGGGACGAAGCATAAGTGGGACCATCAATTGACTGAGTGCTAGCTCATGCTAATATTTGGATGATTGTGGATCCCGGTAGTCCGCAACAAGCCACAATATCCATTATTTGGATGACTTCTGGTGAAACAGCTTCGCCTTTTCTCGTATGTTGGTTTTATTAGCAAGACATGCTCGGGTTTGGATGGCTAAAATCGGTTGGCCATGTTAAACAAACCAAATTATTTGGAATATGTGCTCTGCGGTCAACAAAATTTCTAGCCCCATCTATGCCTTATTATGCTGTCCCAATTGAGTGTCTCGCCAGTGGTTTCAAAACACCCGTTTATTATCAGCCTGAACAAATGACACAAAAACAACGCTGAGTTTCGGTGAATCGTCGCAACATTGCGTGCTGCGCGGATTTCTTCGACCGCCTTTATTTCCTACCTACGGAGTTGACAATTTAAGAAAAATGTAGTGAAACCCTTTTCATTCACTACCGACGAAGTCGGTTCAGGCGGGGTGCTCCAGTCGAGAGTTATAGTGGATGACAGTCCGCCATTGATCTTCACCCGTTTTATTATCTTCTTCGATACATGAAAAGGCACTCGCCGTAAGTGCATCGAAACAAGATCTTAACAGAAACGGTCATTACAACTCACTGGACAAGAGAAAAACGCAAACCGATTTGTCAAGAGCGCATTAGATGCAAACATTTTGGGCACTGAGGTCTGTATTCCGTACACCTATCGGAATGTTGCACAGTATTCTCATTAGAATGAAGTGAAGCATGGATATTTTACCAGCGGCACTCAAGAAGGCATTCAAAGTGTTTTCTGGACTGTCGATTGCCGGACAGTGGATTTCGTTGCTACGAGCAATTACATGCAATAAAAACGACTGCAAACACAAGTACTTTCACTCATACGGTGCATTACATTTAGTATTGCACTCTGGGAAATATTGTTTTACATTCCGATCACGTCTTACCGTCGGACGACAAGTTTTTGGGCTCAAGGAAGCTCAACATAGAGAAAACATTATGCCTGAATGTTTGGAATGATTGAAGGGGATCGTGATGGGTCCAGCTGAGATGTAGTCAGATTAGATTGTACAGCTTCTTCCTTAATCTCGTAAAAATTTTGAGATATAAGCCAAATCAAGCATTTATTTAGCGGTGTGCCCCATTAAGTTTTATCCCAACTAAACGATTCAGTAACTAGAAATCACTGAGAGATTGTTTTAAAGTGCGTTTTGTGAATATGTGCGGGCTTGTCCTGCAAACGACTCGTTGCGAACCATTTGAATACAGCGAAATATTTTGCGGATATCCATTTTTATGGTGTCACTTTCAGTTTATCATTGTTTTTAAGTCATTGATAAGCATTTCGGTAAATACGCTGCACAGTAAATTTCATAAAACGACAACTCGAGTGAGTTAAAATGGCTCTGATTTATTGATTATGATGGCGGGCTGTGGTTCGAACTCATGAAGTATATCCTAAAATCGATATTTTTGATTAAAAATTGTGTTCAACAAGATGATTTTTAGGTACTTTTATGTATATCGATCCTAAAATCGATATTTTTTATTAAAAATTGTGTTCAACAAGATGATTTTTAGGTACTTTTATGTATATCGACACAGTTAGCGGAGCACATATTTGCGTGAAATATGGAGATAAATGTTTCTGAAGGAAAACCTAGTCAATGTCAACATGAAAGACACTATTGGGTAAGAACGATTAATTTCAAAACAATTCTACGGGGCTCAAAAGAATGCATCTAACGCTGGATAAACTGATCTCGCTGAACTTCAAGAATTAAGTTCTCAATTCGGCCGTGAAAGCAAGCACAGTGTTGTCAGAAGTTTCAGAAATGGTACATTTTAAGGAGGTTCCCTGAAACTAGACTAAAGTGAATAATCCTATCTCCAAGATCCCATTCAAAGTTATTTGCACAATCATGCGGTGACATCTGGCATATATTTGTGATTCATATATTCCCGCCCCGTTATTCTAATGTCATGTAAATGTAAATGCAAATTGTCTACGGATTCGAACTAGTGTTACTATTTCTCATTTATATACAATGCATTCCATACTGGTAAATCCATACCAAAGGGGGGAAGCACTGGACTCAACTTTCGCCCTTATTATAGCTCATCAGAAGTGCATATCCAAAGGCCGTGCCGGGGTCTGAATTAAGGACATCTGAAATGCGAGGTGAAAGTGTTACTACTATTCCATCTGAATTCTCACGTCTGAACGGGCAAATGAAACAATCGATCGTCACAACACGTTCCCCGTTCAGACGTGAGGCGTCCAACGTGCGCTGATGGAATAGTGGTAGCGCTTTTGCCTCGCATTTCAGGTGTCCTTATTTCAAACCCTGGCACGGCCTTTGGATATGCACTGCTGATGGGCTATGATAAGGGCGAAACTTGAGTCCAGTGCCTCCCCCCTTTGGTGTGAATTCACCAGAATAGCAAGGCCAGGACAGGAGGACGAGAGCTATGTGTATGTGAACAATACACAATCAGCAAACCCTACAACATGTGGCATTCCAAACTGTTCTGCCCACTTGTTGACTAGCTTCTGTGTTCGTTTGTCTTTTGAATGCCCCAAGCTGGTACCTGACTTCATTCATATGTGCTTTCCCTAGAAGTGCACAATGCACCACCAACGTGGATGTCATTTCATCTGCACAACCCAGTCTGAAAGTCTTTAAAACGAAACTGCATTCAAGACCAAATTTTTTCGTATCTCTTTACATACAGAACCCTTCTTCTTATAAGATACTTACGCATCCATGCTGCGATGGATCGTTATTTTTCAGGACTCATTTGCTTGAATGACATTGAACGGAGGCGCTCCAGCGCCGAATTGGCCAGGGAGATTTGGCAAAATTCACTGATTGAGCTGACCTCACAATTAACTAAACTCTATCCTCCGGAAGCAACAGGTCAACTGGATTCCTCAGAGCCACGTCGGATGGCTTATTTTCGCCAAATTTTGGATAAACTGAAACCAGAGAAATTGTGTGGTGATTCGGACCATTTAACCTGGCAGTGGGGTCGTCGAATGTTTGAGTGAGTAAACTTTCGTGTTTTTAAATAAGATTATATATGGGGTTGCGTTTTTTTTAATTTTTATATTTTTCTAGAACAGTAGTACACAGCGGACAAGGATCGGAGTTTTCAAAAGTTGAGGCAACCTGGAAAACATATCAGGAGAAGCATATCCACCAATATGCTAGAAATGGAAATTGACAAAAATCTATTCTAAGAAGCCAGGAATTACTATACAGCTTCCGAACTCGTTTGTTAAAATCCATCACCAGTATGTTTCTCGGTCTCTCGGGTGACTCGAAGCCATTAATATGGGGTTCGTTTTTTTTAATTTTTATATTTTTCTAGAACAGTAGTACACAGCGGACAAGGATCGGAGTTTTCAAAAGTTGAGGCAACCTGGAAAACATATCAGGAGAAGCATATCCACCAATATGCTAGAAATGGAAATTGACAAAAATCTATTCTAAGAAGCCAGGAATTACTATACAGCTTCCGAACTCGTTTGTTAAAATCCATCACCAGTATGTTTCTCGGTCTCTCGGGTGACTCGAAGCCATTAGGAAGCTTCATACTGTTCAGGCAGGAGGCGTTGGTTAGTAATTAGAGAGCGCCACATATTCTTGCATTACTCAACACATCACATGCTTCTGTCGAATGGCTTCTATATTGGAGAGAACAGTGCACATCTTTATTTTATTTTCAAAACTCGAATTTCTACTATTAAGCTCCAACACATTTCAGACCGTTTATTGTTCTACGACCCTAATTATGACCGGCACGATACAAGGTAACCTGAATTCGCTGTTACAGACGTGTACTCTGAACGGTGAGTTGCCGTTCAACTTGGTGAACTGGTTTTACAGATAGTTCTGTCACGTCACCAGTAAGACAATACTGGTGAAGGTCTTCAAATAATGACGAAATTTCCACTCTCCTATCTTTATAACGCTGATTTCTTGGCTTATCCACAGTGACGCCTTAGATGCTTTTTGTCAAACGAATTAAGACGATATGCTGACCAAATTCTCCAGAAGACTCAGAGTCACAGATATTTTAGGAAGCAATGAGCTCCGCTAGAAAATGTCAATTTACTTCACAAGGTCACTTATGGACAGTAAGTACACATTTGTGACCGGAAAATATTCATCTACTGGAGGATTTTAAGAATAGGAAGTCTGTCTGTTTCTGACTGCGAAAACGATTAACAGCACATCATACTGAAGTTTTCTGGAAACTTTAATTTAGTTTCTCGCTGAGTGTAGTTCGCAAATTGTGCACAATTTAGATTCAAGAGTAACATAAGATTAACGCATTCTTGGCGACTGCGCCTGCCGGATGTGCCTCAGTGTGGGGTTACTGGAAGTTGACTTTGCAAGAGATTTTAGCAAGCCTTCGATCACCACGAACCTTCAAGAAAATACTAGGGGTTTTGCGCAACGCGTCCACTTAAAGAATATCATACAAAATAACTTCAGCTGGGATTCAGTCAAGGCTCCCGTTAAAACCAAATTAGTGTGGAGGTGAATGCTTTTGGTGAAGGACCGCTAATTAACGATAGGTAGGATCTTTGGTCCAGTGATTAGACCGGATAGGAATGAACACATGGCACGTTGTGCTTGCTCATATTGAACGGCGTTTTATCGGTACACACACGGTTGCCCGTAAAACTATGAGGACCCTACGTTTAGTTGTGGATAAACAAACAACTCGTTTTTTTTTAGTTTCAGCGCCGACCTCATCGGTAGCGGGAATGCAAATGTGGATGCAATTATTTCAAGCCCTTGCAAGTCGACTTTCGATTTCTATGTCGACGAGGTGCAAATTCAAAAGAATGAATCATAGTCCTTTCATTCCTTTGGTAGGAAGGGCGAGTAACTGCATGTACTAGTTAGTAAAAGAGTCAAACAATCGCCTTGTTTCTTTTGTTGTACAAACAAAAGCTATTCGCAAGGCAGGAGATGTCAGACTGCAGGCGAACAACGTTTGCTAGATTTCGCCAAATCGTGGACGGAAAATGCTTATTCTAAATAACGATGGTTTGTTTTCCGAATGCTTACACGTGAATGTAGGGGCATTTAGTCCACAGTAGCACTTCACATCGGCACTACAACCGTTAGTTGCAGGATTGTTTGTTATTTAACCTTAATCTGATATGAAATAAGTTCTGCGATAGACATACATTGATTCATCGAAAGAAGTCTGTGATCGTTACTTGAAATAACCTGTGTTTCTATTGAGCTCTTTTGTTCTAAACTCTTCATGGGAGAACTAGAGGACGGTTAAATCTAGACTTGGAAGCAACATGGTAGGAGAATGATGTCATGGAAAAAGCGCTTCGATATGCTTGGTCAAATTAATTAGAAACTGAGAGAAACGATGAAAATCTTGCAACCACTGTTGTAATTATGATCGCTATTTATGCTTCTTTATTACAGACCCAATTCAGCAATATTCGTTTGAAACAGATGATCAGTTTATATTTCATCAGAAGCGTATAACTTAGCTCGGCGCCTAATAAGTTGACTCGGAAATGGGTTTGCCCCGAGCCTCCCATCGTTCAAGAAGGAAAGGAAGCAAGTGCCGATAGATGGCCAGGGTGGAATTCCTCCTCGGCAACTACTGAATACAGTATGCCTATATACTTGTATTAGCATGTGTTAGTATCCCACCTTTTAAGTTTTGGTTTTTCTTCTATACAACGATGATTGATACCACAATTTTATCGCTCAAATGCTTGCAAAGAGCGTAGGTGTTATTAAAAGAGATGAGTGTACTCACCAACATGATTTCAACCATTTAACTGTGAGGACATCCACATGAAATCGCAGTTTTCGCTTGTCCATCCATTCTAGATTTCAATACAGATGCTCAGCATTTTTGAAGAGCACTTTTTGTTAAGACATTGAAAAAAACTGGTAAGCGATCTAGTCAAGTACATTGGGACACTTTTCTATGTACCCGGCATTCGAAGAGCCATCTAACAACCGATCACTCCTCAGTGACGACGTAAATGAAGTATCAGTGACGGTTTGTCTTGTCTGAGCGTGAGATAATCATAATAGATATCATAATAGAACAGTATTTATTCACTAACAATTGAAGTGGTTTAGTGGTTAGAGTGCGAATTTGTTGACCGGAAGGTCCGTAGCTCAAACCCGAACTCTGTATCTCGCCTTCTCCTGTATAAACTTGGACAACCTGACAGAGTTCTAACTCTTATCCTTCCTTCATTTCGCGCCAGCTAGGCGTCTAAGGGTGTTAAAGATAAACGATGTTTTGGATCACTAACCGGAGGCCACTCGTTCGAATACATCTGGAAATTTGTTAGAGCTGCAACGTTGATATTTATCACCAAAGATAGAACAATCCCATGGTGTTTTCAGCGTACGTTAATTTTAATTTAATGATGAAAAATAACTTGACGTTTAAGTATCATCACAACCTGGAGCAGATAGTACAGGTTCCTTCAATTGATCCTGATCAACCTAGTTTCATCGATTTGACAGGACACCTCGGTGGAGAAAACCAATTTTTGCATCAACTACTTGAGTCGTCGTCCAAGAGATGAACCGCCTCTATCTATACATCAATAAAATCCCAAACTGAGTAGAGCATTCCACCAAGTAACTACTATTCATTCCCTTACCTTCCTGTTAAAAAACAACGCCGTGACCAAATCACTATCTGCTCTTTTCATTTCTTCTATAACAATAACATGATTCTGGTATAGATAACAACCCGGCTATCTAGATTACCTCTATTTTAATTCTGAGTAGATTCACTTCAAAACTATAGATATTGCAATACGAGCAATGACGTCGTTCCTGGTCTACACAGTCCATAATTTTTTCCCTGAAACGGCCATTCAAATCAGGGTGTTCCAGACATGTGTGAGTCACAATGCGAAGCTCCATACAACAGCACAAAACTGTGGCAGATAGGGCCGATGCATATAAAATCATGCATGAGTGGATGACGAAAATATTTTGATAACCGATCCCAGCAACCATGTATTTCAGATTTATCACTACTCAAGGAGGCCTGCCTCGACAGAGATTACTCATCACGGCCCAACATTTTTCTTACATTCCTTGAAGAGTATATGGTTTGTACACATTCTCCTGGAATGGAACTCTCGGTCACTCGAAGTAATCACCTCAAAAACGTTTCTACATTAGTCACTTATGTACAGAACCAGATCATTTGGAGAGGAGATGGCCACTTGGTTGGAGGTGCCAGCATGGGGTTTAACCACGGATAGTCAAATTTTTGTTAGTTGGCAGTCATCAAAGAAATCTAAATATGCATAAAAGTAGGTCTCGAGGACGAGAGCCGAGAGCCGTCTTCGGTAGCTACAATGTAAAGATGCGCTTACTCATGTCACATGGGTGCAGTCAAACTACTCAGAACAAAACGTTACCGGCTATTGAGCCGCTCGCACAAGTCGTAACATCACTTCGTAGCTGACATCGCCGGATGCCCAAAGACTGTTGGTTTAATCAAGGGCAAAAGACAATATTCTTGTGAGCCCCTGAATGCCAAACAAGAAGATTTTTAGTAAGGGCCATATAATAATGTGGAAAATGGACACTCAGGAAGGCAATCAGCCATGGAGTTTGTGAACAATGTTTGTGTTCAAGCTCCTTACTTATGCAGCACATGAATTTCGAGCAAGCTAAAGCATATTGGGTCATCACTGTGCATGAGCATATTGTCCCCTACATTGTCTGATCTTTAAATATGCAGCCAGCTGACCCTGACTCAGACGCATTCTAACTGGTATAATGTTTCTCTTCCGTTTTAAAACAGAAAGGACAATAGCTTGGTCCCCAGGTGAATGAAGGAGAACCCTCTTGGAAGAGTAGATATACGAACAGTGTGGGTGAGAATTGGACAGCAAACAGATATACAGTCCGTCCATCAGAAATTATCAGTTCACTGGATGGCCAGTACTACTTGAATGAGGACAACGCAAGCGCATATTCTCTAGCGCATTGTTCCACGTGCTCTAGACAGCGAAAAAAGTGCGGTCCGGAAAAAACTAGTTTGTTCTCTTTGCACTTTGACAAACATTCCAGAAATAAAAGGAAAGCTTTATCAGGCATGAGATATGGGAAATCTCGATAGCTAATGTAACAGGTGCAAATCCAACCGGTTACTGACAGTCTGAAAAGGGACCAATGGATTTCTCATATGTCCAGTCATTGTACTAAGAACTCCTTCATTCCAATCCAATCTACTTTCATTCTGTGACACTATGAGTGGTGTGACCAGTACGATCAACACGGCCAGGGTGACCAATATATCTCATAGTATTCCTGACATATTTTTTTGTTCCGCTACTTCTAGAATCATTTAAAGAGCTTCATTCGCACGTCGTGTTAAACATTTGTTTCCAAAATTCATCGATCCTATCTGTATCTTTGAAGTGCATTTGGACACCGTAAGTATGCTTCTTCCTGTAACATTCGACAGACTATCGGCTGTATACATAAACGAAAGATTCAGCTAGATCCCGGTTCACCCACCCATCAACACCAACGTATCTTACAAATGAATGTGTCGTGAAATCCTTGAAAGTTGGGAAGTGAAGTAAATGGAGATACAATCACCAGAGAAGCAACACTGATAGTGAGATGTTCCTAGTTTTCATTGATCTTATGAGTATTATTGAAACGTGCCTTCACAATGCTGCTTATTTACATATAACATAAGAAGTATCCCCTTCTGCGGAAACTAAAAGTTGCCTTGGTAATGGTATTAATTCACACAGTGGGTTGTGCAATTTCCATCAATACAACCGTTTATGCAGACAGCTGTCAGTATATCTTGATATCCTATTTTCCTTATAGTATTATGCGCTCGTTGACCTTCACATATCAACAAGAACCCGTCAGCTTCCTTCCTAACGGAGGCTTGAACGTCTCCACAATGTACGTGTACAATTCAAGAACTTCTACCGGACAAATGGACTGGCACAAGGTAAGTCAATGAAACATTTCTTGTCTCTCATTGGCATTGAAAGACCACCTCATTTTTGGGTATTTATCAAATTAGTAATTGTTAATTAATTAATGAGCTAGTTATTTAGTTTATTAAGCGATTTCCGAAGCGTTATTTCTGGCGGTCTAAGATTTCAGATCCACTAGTTTCACCCATCCTTTTTATGGGACCGTGCGAAGAGGAATAGCGGATTGCTGGCAACCACTGTGCAACTCTGCAAATTTTTACACGACACAATTCAAAACCACCTTGTGTTGATAAGTATTGGGGTCACAACGGTATCCTCTAGAGCCACCCAGCCAATTACTGCAACCTCAAACGCCTTAGACACACTTTCAACTGCCTTAAATGTACGTTTTGCGAGAGTCACCATCGTACCAGGAATGGTGATCATGCTTCACGCTCACTTTCTTTGCATCCTTGAACTTTCCTGTTGACACTTGCAGTCCTTTCCAAAGGGATAAGAGAAATAAAGCCGTTTCAGTCTGCTCTCTTTACTAGTAAAGACCAACTCTCCTCTGATGTCAAATGGTTCTTTTCTGTATAACCATTTGAAAACCTGGTGATTGAACATTGGCTTTGGGTTTCGTTGTCGCAGTTGATCGCACTCATTTCATAGAGACGAGAAATTTCTATTAACTTGGTTTTAATTCGTGATTCAATTGCAGTTAAAATTTGATCACGTGATGTTGATTCCTTGCTGGAAAGATAAATGGTGCTAAATCCTGTTGAAGTGCGAGTTACTCGTACTGCCAAACGGCAAATTGCGTTTAAACTGGGAGGGTTGCGTGACTGAAACCCCGTGAGGTGGATTCCCGTTTATTTCGAAAAGAACTTGGGAAAAAAGTGTCTAAATGAGCCAGTTTTATGCGAATCCGGAAGCTTACTTTCAACGGCGGAACACAGCAGTGGCATTAGTTATGGTCACTAGCCTCATTAGACCATCTTAGAAGCGAAAAATGTCACACTAGCTACAAACGAAGCTTGCTTACCCTTGAAGAGCGAATATTGCTTAGTTGAAATCCAGCCGAATCCAGGTGGTATAGGGCGGAGATTCAGAAATGCCAGTCACAATGTTGTTCTTCTGCAGGTTTTTCAAAAAAACTGATCAACTAGTCACGGAGGAAACTACAATGCAACTTCAATAGGTAAATAAACTGCATATTTTGGCCAAGTTTAGACAACCGTGCAGTGAGAGGAGGATGGAACAACTGCATATTAACTCGGATCTAGCTCAAATAAATCGAACCAAGCCGTTTATTAAAATTGTATGGGCTCATCCGCAAATTCGAATAAAAAACACATAAAAACAACGGGTACCTGTAACTCATGATGAAGGATCAAGTGTGAGAAACGGAAGAATAGAATTTGAAGCCAGGTCATATCACGGATATACATATGAGGTTGATGGGAGCAGCCAAGGTACCAGAAGACGTACTTTCAAAGAATTTATCGCAAGCATGATTCCCCACCTCAATGTTGTAATTAACGTATGTGTACTCTTATACAGCCTCTCACACATGGTCACTCATAAACCGCCTTAATCCATGTTTACATAGGTGGTTAGTGTTTGATACATTCAGTTGCTTGATAAAAAGGTGTCTGGGTGATTATATCCGAGTGTTCACATATCTCATCTTGCCAAATCTCTACTGGCCCTTCTTATCTATCAATCTATCAGAGGCTCCATGCTCTGATTTGGCTATGTTCATATGTTAAGCGGTATGGAGGTGTTCTTGAGGTTTTTCTGCCCGATGTTAATTCCAGTCTTCGATACATGAGAGCTCTCTGCCGCCTTGCACACTTTTTGCTCATTCTGAAATAATTCGTCAAGTATTTTGAACTCAAGCTGCTTTCGAGTTTCAAACATTTGCCTGGACTTCGGCTCGCGTATCACCTTCCTACAATCCTGTCTAACGCTAACCGTGAGTCCAGTAGGGCTGAGAGTGCCTAACTGATTCACCTCACAAAACTAATAAACAGCAAAATAATTTACTAAAGAAGTGGAAGTATGGACACCAAACAATAGAGGGAGGTTTAAAGTGTGTCATCTCACACGACATCTAGCCGGAGCGTATCAGGACCATAACGTGGACTAGATTCGTAGCAGGTGAAACCAGTATCGATCGAGTGATTGCAAGTATTCTCGTTCTGTCTAGCGACTAGCGCTTGCCCATTTCAAATGTCAACTCTGTTTGGCGTTCTAATAAGCAGCCCATGAAAACTGTCTTTTAGTTAGGCCAGCGTAGCACAACCACATGTCGGAGGCACGGGTGACAGTATCGTCGGGGCCGATCAACCAGAAGAAAAAAGTTGTGGTGATGATCTAGTGTATCGACGTTATGTGCGCCATCGTTATTTGGTCATGCAATAAAAGAACCTACACTTCACATAAGAAATCGATATTCTTAAAGCAAAAAAACATTAGGATAAGACCTCAATGTCAGTATGAGAATAGTAGTTCCGAATTTTAAACAAGCTTTAAAAGTAAGATTGAGCGACTGTTTGATAGCTCTCAAATTTCAGGTCTAAATTCTTCACGGCGAAATATCTGATTTTCAAAGGATGCGCCAAAATAACTCTGCAAGCGTACGACAAAGGTTCGGTACATTTTCAGTCAAGCTATCGCCGTAAAATCCATCCATAAATGATGCCGCATTAGCGGAGTCTCTTTTCAACGTTTTGTGTTTTGATGTCAAGTACCCTATATAAATCAATGCATTCGTTTGTGGTCAGCTCAAAACGATGTGACTCAAAGACGTCGTGAACGAATCTGTTCCACTTTTGAAATCTTGTTAAAATCTAGACCGCTTTTCTTACAAGATCGCTGCTCAGTACAAACCTCCAAAGCATTCAACACCCAGTTAGGCATTTTTTAATTAGGAAGGTTTTGGGGCTCTAATGGGTTTTGTTTAATGATTGTTTTACAGTTTATCCAGACGTCCTAACATCTTATTGTGATTTATACCACAAGTCAACGAGCGTTTCTATAATTCCCCACATTGGGATTGTCACAGTTGTGTGGCATATTTGCTATGCTATTTTATCTACGTAGCCCATCATGAATTCGGTTCGTAGATATTAAAACGGAGATGCTTGTGGGAAGCCGTAGTTTTATTATAAATGCTGTTGATGACACTACTCATATCGTTTGCTATGCAGCTAGCCATTACTCCAGTATAGAAGGCAGAACTAACTTTCGAAACTTATGCATGCAGAACTAGCCAATGACGAGTTTGATTTTGTTGAATTCATCAAAGACCCGAACGTTTCAGATGTTTGTATCTTGTTCATCAGCATACACATAGTCGTGATCGCTAATCCGCTCTGATAATGTCGGGTTAGTGATTGTTCAGCTGTAGCACCTTTTCGGTGCCAAGCTGCCATGCCACACGAAGGAAGCACGAGGGCTGGGATACTGTCAGGTTACCCAAGCCTAGACAGGGGAAGTCGAGAGGTAGAGGCCGGATTCGAACCACGGACCTTCCGATCAGTAAATTCGCGCTCTATCCACTTGGTCCATCTCGCCCCCTTGTCTGGTTACAGATAATCACGAATATCCGGCTCTAGTTTCACCCAGGAAAAAACTTGCGCCAATGGACCACGAGTGTGCGGTTCTTGTGCCTGAGAGACTAGCGGGTTGCTCCGGGCTCATCACTCAACCGTTCACCAACATATTTGTACACGGCCATTCTACAACTTACGAGTTTAGTACAATTAGTCCACTGTCGTTCCCTTGCTGTCGATGTATCAGTAACAGAGTGACTGACATAGATTAAGTAGTTTCAACCCTCAAAACCGTTCATCAAAAAACCTCACAAACCCGAGGATGAAGAGTGCAGTATTATCCCATTCCTGAATATTACACTAAAACGCCACGATGTTTAATCGTCCTGGATTACCTATTGTAAGCCTACATTTGTAGGTCATCATCCCCACACTCTAAGTTCCGTCTTGTTGCAAACAAAACGAATCTGTTCGAGCCTACATAGCCCGTCCCAGTGGATGTTTTCTCGAATCTTATAGGGGGATGATACATGAAAACTTCTCTCCTAATAGAAGACTGCCGTAAACTTGTGGCAGAAGTCAAGAGGCAACATTGTTCTAAACCTTTTAAGAAAGGATTAGTTATCGGCCTTCCGCTGATGGCTGACACATCTGAGGTTTATGCGACACTAATATGTTATCTTCCACGACGTATTTAACGCCTGCCATTGGTAACTTGAGTAACGTAGGTGGTACCTGATTTGTTCGCTCAGCAGTTTGATTGGACTCGTTTCATCATCAATCGATGTTACATCATCAGTATATTGTAAGAGGTGGAGTGGAGCGTAGCGATGGGTCTATTAACACAACCAATGACTATATTAACAGTTCCAAGCCTAGAACCGCATTCACCTTGTGACTGATAGTCTTCCAACGCCTCAAAGACCAAGTGTCGCCCAAAAGTACAAACACGTGCGTTAATTGGTTCCTGATCAGCTGAAAATATCGCTCGAACACGAAACAACTGGAGAGCATTCACCAGATTCGTAGTTAAAAGGAGAGAGATGAAACATCAGGAGCGCTATCCTCGAGCATTTAAGAACCCCAGAACGCTGCGTCAAAAGCGACCCACAGAATCTTTCCAGACACATCTGGAAAGCGTCTCCCACTCTAAAACATCTGCTCATCATTGCCAGAGTATACATAACTCTCTCAACTCTGCCAGCCAAATTATTAGTTCACCTCACCTCTATGAACAGTGATCACAGCTCACCAGGCATACTCAATTTGGTCTGAACTAACGTTGCGTCAGTCCCACCGCTTATGAACAGTGACACAGCTCAACAAGCAATATCAATTTGGTCTGAACTAACGTTGCGTCAGTCCCACCGCTTACATTTGACTGATATCCACGCTGTAACACTTTCACAAGGGATATCAGACTTAGCAAGAACTTTATTAACAAGTAGATCGGGTAACAAATTCTGAAAACCGTTGATGACCGGATCAGTCGATAATCCTGTCGTCAACGTCAGCTGTCATTTAGTTTGCATGATCAGGAGCGCAATTAGTGCGACTACCGAAACTGTCAATGACAGGCCGAGTGATGCACAAACTTTGATTATACTGGCACGTTCCCTCCAAGTTGCAACAATTCTTCCCTCTTATTATAATCATTTCTCAAATAGTCCGCTTGTTCTGAAGTGTCCTGATGGTTGTGAAACCTGTCTTTTAGCTAGGCATTGTAATTAGCATGCCAGCCGAAACACCACAACCTTCATCACCGAGGACAGAAAATGACACGAAGCATCCTTGGGAAGCGACGAGCATCCTGAAGTGGATGCCAACAACTAGGCTATTTAGTGACGAAAATTTATCGGTTGAAGTCTTCTGTGTGTTCTCAGGAAATCAGTTGGTTATAGTAAATACAATCGGCTGAAATTTACTCCCTGGGTTTTCACCTGGTCAGTGGCTTAAAGACGTCACAATTGAGAAGGAATTACCGCTCCTAAATATTTACTCCAAAGCAGTAAAATAATCCCTGCTCGACAGCATCAGTTAACAATGTTGTGGAATGTAGGTAGCTCGGGTGCGCTACCAAGCTCGGTGAACAGACCAACAACCTCTGAAACCTGTACAAAATGTGTCCGTCTGTCTAAGAGTGCCACTGACTGTCAAGTAGTCTTGTGCTTGTGAAATAAAGCTACTACTGGATGAAGAGGCTGATTCACTGAAGCCACCGAGGTCAGTTACTTTAGCCTTGGATGGAGACAAGAGATTCCGTTTCCTCCAAAATATCTCTTAGAAATCAACCGGGGTGAACTCTATTGGTGGTTGCTCAGGTGACTGTTGTTCTGTTTTTCGAGCTTAGTAAATGCCTTGCAAACTTTCCGTCGCCACCAAAAGAGACAACATTATTGTGCATTTGGGTGGAGTGAACTTTAACCGCAGGGCACCTTTAATGCCGTTATAATGGTATACACTACTGGTGAAGCTTGAGTAGTTGACGTGGTATCCAAGCTCCGTCCCCACATCTGATGGAGGGTGGAGCTCACTATGGAAATTATTAAACCACATTGCAGTGTTCACTTCTTATTGTTCAGTATTCAAATAGCGTTTAGGAAGGTTTATTAGTACGCTTGAAAATGTTTACTTTTCAACAATTAAGCGCAAATGAGATATTAAACTTCGTGTTTAATGGATTTTAACCGCGTTTTTTTTTAACCAAGTTTGAAGCTAAGGCTATTTCTCCTTTCAATAATAGCCCTGTATATTTTCATGAATATCCTAATGCTGTAGATCGAGGTTTGAGTAATATTACAGTCGATTTTGGTGACCATCAGTAATCGAGTTGCTGGACCTCTTCACATAGCAATAAGAGAGATGGTTTGGGCGGAGGCAGATGTGGAACTGCGCGTAAGCCCTTAGAGCCAAAGTAGATCGCAATTAATACAATTTTCAAGCTAACCTGCAGGAGCCTGTCACAAGTCACCAGCCCAACAAAACTTGACAGCATAACATTGGAAAGTGACATCAGTCACCGGTGAAAGGAGGAAGGCCCTTCGCTGCGGAGTTATTCATTAGAAAATGTTAACTGACAGGATACAGACTATTGGACAGAGAAGCATAACTCTCATTTGCATCTTATTTACAAAAACTGAACATCCATCTCCTCCTAAACGCGTCTTCTTCAACTTTCCTGGATATTCATTGACTCCAATCATTCATTGCTCAAATCCAAGCAATTGATTCAAAGTGACTCCACAAATTCTCCCCTTTTCAAGAGACGCAATGGGAAATTCAAAGAACAACACATACTACTCACATGCTTCCCCATCAGTAGCATCATCTTTACACCAGTATCGTCCATCAATTCCGTATGGTTCAGTGTAATAAAGCAACTATCCCGCCCAAACACACATCGTCAGGCTAATTAGTGGCTAAGCTGAAGGTCTTTGACTAACCCCGGACATAACATGTGACCCTCATGAAAATCACTGAAACAATAGACACCAATGCATCTTTTACTCAGCTACTTAATTTTTCGTGAATCCCAATGTGGTGCTGTGTGCAAGTCATTGACACTGATGTAAACTAAGGAGAATATAATCGGCGTGTCAAATGGACTGCATCTGCTGTTATTCTTTACCAGGTCCAAAAAAAATATACCGAGAACTCAGGCATTCGTTGCTAATTCATTTTGAAACTGGCGCCATCTGATGATACGCTCATGGTCAGTCTTGATTCCAAGGCCCCCAGTCCATTGCACTGTTTATCAGCCAGTCATGGTAAATTATTTAAATTATAATTTAGAGCTCAGGGGTTGGATGTTCTCTTCGAGATTTCAGAATTGCGCACGACCAATGATTTCCGCAAATGAATAACCTGATTTCCAACGCTTCTTCGCTTTTCGAAAAACAGGACACAGTCTCCATTATAGTGTACCACTGCTTCAGCAAACTCAGTGGGGTATCGTGAATTAATTTGACAGGGACCTTTTACGCTACATTATCGTGCTCCTTCGCAAATTACCTGCGTGTCAGAACAGCATTTCAGACGTCCACGTCTCATGTTGTCACTTTCTATTTATCGATGCTTCTAGCCCAAACGTTTGCACAGTCATCTCTGAAACGAATCTAGTGCCACTTTGAACCACAGAATAGGCACGTTATGACGCAACTGAAGCAGCTTCTGATTCTATTCACGAAACTAAACAGTCCCCGAGAGACGGGCAGCTGCATGCATATAACACGTTTTGCTTCCTAATCTTTGTTAATTAGTTTTTCTCTCCATAGGAGGACTTTCTGTTTTTTTTGCTGGTTTCATTCGGATCCGCAGTAGAATACAGCGCAGTCTACCTTCTTCAGTGGTCTTTTAATTTGTCATTTGGATTCATCATCTTAGAAGCATCGTGCACTGATTTTATTTGGTATTCGACTCCAAATGTTAGTCACATGGGTGTAGACAAACTGTCATTTAGGAGTCAGTGTTCACGCGCAATCAGCCTAAGATGCATCCTACGGGAAATATTCATTATTAATAAGCATAGGTGCTAAATGGAACTGAATATACTTAAACTAGTACACCGACTAGTCTATTGGTGCAGGCCATCAAGAGACATGCTGGCATTTCGGAGTACAGGCTGGTCTACAAACCAAACTTGGGCAATCAGGGCGTTCACAGACCACGAGCGCCTCGTCACCGGGTCATCGAGCATTCAGCTTGTCGGAAATTCTTAAATACTTGGTTTGAATGTTATCCTTTTTGTAATCACAGGATGCTATACAATCAGCAAGAGGGTTAGCCGCATTCTATTTTTACAGCTTCACACGCAGCAATTACCTAAAGGCTAAATGACGCCAGAATCAGGTGTGCCAGTAGGAGATAAAGGAGCTAAAAAGGTTGTCTTGGTCGGATTTCGAAAACATCCAAGCTTGTTCAGAATTACGAGGATAAGGGGTAGCAACAATGGTTTTCCGCGTCCACAACACTCGGGTCAATCATTTGTAAACACGAACTAAAATTTCAGAATGGGTGTCCAGTTTATGGTGCTTTTCCGTTGCTCATGAGTGAAAGGGCGACATTTTCAAGCCAAAGGAGGTAAAGGGACATGTGTAAGAGAGTAATTCGACCGTTCTATAGTGTCGTTTTCAGTGTCGTCTAAATCATAATACTCAGACCCACAGTTGAAAAATACATCTTTCATTCACAAAGAAAACTACTCACAAAGTCGCTAAAACTCTTCGACAGCCTTTTTGGGGATCTTCATGTAGGCGCAGACCCCGAGTTACCATCAATCTGCTTAAAACCCGTTCTGAACATTTCCGCCGGTTACTAAAAGAAGTTTGCAGTAAGGTTGAATGTACCCAGTTAGTATTGCTCAGACCAACTTTACCAGGAACATGGTGAGTCTCAATTGCCAAAAGTTTGGCCTTAGAAGCCTCTGACTGATCCGATCAATTGTATTGAGAAGCTGTCCAAAATAACGGAAACAAAATGGCTTCTAAATTTTACACACTGGCTGTAGCACGATTGCTAAACTGAAACGTGTTTAATGAGTGCTTTACTATGTTTGTCCCTCTTTTGCACCGTGCGCCATCTGTTTTAGAAAACTGGTTTTGAAAAAGGTACGTGAAGCTACTGCTCTCCTGGATAATATATTGTATGCTTGTAAGAGTCCAGAGATTGACTTCCGCGCTAGTGAATACTTTGTCAGCTTTACCTGCAGGTGAATGTCAAGCGAATTAAAGAAAAACGTCAGACATCTTGGAAAAACATATGAATAATTCGAACCTTCCCGATTTCTGATTTGATTTCAGGTCGGCACATGGTCCATGAGTAATAAGTGGGGTAAACAAATATCTCGGCTACTGATTGATGGCGTCACCTGGCCTGGAGGGTCCAATTCACCACCAAAGGGACGGCCAAGTAAATTCAAAGTTCGTGTCGTGACGATCAAAGAAAAGCCTTTTGTTATTTATCAAGCAGTGCAGGTGAGTTCTGTGATTTGTTTAAATGTGTGGCGTCTACCAGTCTACCTTAGTCATATTTAATGGTAGTATGGATGTACTTACATATTTGGATGAATAGGTATGAAAGAGGTAACTGCTGACAAGCATAAAATTTGGTGAAGTGAGGAGCTTCAGACAGTACTGGGCATACTCCACATAGGTACTGAGCCGGCGCACTATTTCGCCTCCTTAATGTCTAGCGGATTCTGAGCCCTGTCAATGAGCACCTTGCGTGAACTTCAACTGGATTCAATGTACTTCGGAATCATCTGAACTGCGTTGATGGAGGGTCATGACGACCTTGATTAGCTTGAATGAGACCTCAATATACAGAGAAATATATATATGCTCTGGACAGAACTCTGGTCCGTTGAGACATGGCGCATCAGTGATTAGATTGAAGTCGAAATGCATAAGTTCAGCTGATAAATTAGTATTTCGGACAGCCAGCGGTCCCAAGCGCAGGCCCTTTCGGATGGTGTTTTCGATTTCTCTTGCATCCTTACTTGAACTCATATTCAGAAGTGAAAATAAATGTTGCCTGACAAATTCTACATCTTTTGCTTACACCTACAACGATGAAGTACACGTATTTATTTTAAATCAACAACATTCATGTTACCATCAAATTGTATCATCACGTTGAGCCCCAAATTTCTTTTCGCAATAACAAACCGACCTTGAGGCTCGATGGTTGCCCACAGATGTAAGTCGGGAACAAAATGCGTGTAATTAGTTTTTCTAGTAATGCTAACTTCCTTCAAAGGCAATTTCGGTAAGTCAAAAGAAATTACGGTCTCAGTTGACCATCTTAAATGTTAGACCAACTATAATTAGGAATTTTTTAGTTGAGCTTTCAGTAAATTTCATCCTCAGTAATCGGTTTTCCAGTCCTATTGTTGCTTGTTTTTTTAACAAAAGTATACCTAATTTTTAAGTTTGACTTCAAAGATACTACAATGATTTTTCTGCTGTGTTGATCGTTACGTCAGCGTTCTTCATTGCATTCTGAGAAACCTCAGATTCTGCAAAAGCACTTCCCATTGTAACGGGGCACCAGTTAAAGGGACAGACGTTTTCAGGCCTTTTGTGCCCCTCTTTGCAGTGGGGCAGAAAAACCGGGTCTGAAGTTTAGTCCGCCAACTTCAAAACTTCAAAGCGTAATCCATGGAGAAGTATGACGGAAGTGTGTGGATTAAATAGAATCCAGGCAACCCAGTTACGCCTGCAAACATAAGCGATCCATCAGCGGGAGGACTAAAGTCGGTCGCTGAACAACTGAGAGACCTGGCGAATTCACGTGTTCCGTTATAAAAAAATGGCTACGAAATGCCCGGCTTAAGGTATACTGAGAGCTTGGAATGCTAATGACACCTTGATTTGGCGACCATCTGGACAATACACTAGGCGATCTACTAGATTTGTAAGCCACAATTTGCGAGTTGTACGATGAATGGTGCACTTTGTGGCTATAGAAAGATATCAAGAGTTGCATGTGTGCAATGCTCACCATATGATCACATCTAAAGTGTGAATATCGCAGTGGTGACCAAAGGTTCCGTGTCACGAGATGCGTAATAGCATAGAGCCTGATGTTAGCCTTATTCCGCACTACCAATTATGTTGACACGCTTAGAATTTGCTGTTTATTAGCATTGTGATCCATTTGATGATTCTCAAGATCCACGTTCTAAAAAGACGGGTCTAATTGTCGACTGTTTAGCGATAGTCAGCAGTTTCGTTTCGAATTTGTCTCGTCTCAAGACTTGACTTGGCAGAAGATCAACTTATTTCCAAGCACTGTGACAAAATCCTTCCGTGACTAAACGTTTACTGTCGCATGCACCCCAAAACTGCTGCACCAACCTAAGTTTCAACCTGTAGGTCCCACACGTAAGGAGGAACGATTATCAGCTGTCGATCACTAGATAGGTGTCAAGGTGTCAGTGGAAAATTTTACTCTGCGTTCCACCATCTACGCCGGTCACATTTACGTTTCATCGATTGATCGTTTGTATAGGCAATGTAATAAAACCTGGTAAATTTCGATGCCAGTAAGCAGCTGACTCTCAGGGTTGTGTGGGATATTAAGCTAGTAGGAGGGTATTTGGTAGTTTCCAATTAACGGTTCGTCCTGTAAGTGCATATCTCATGAAACTATTCCAGAGTTTCAAACTCCAGACTCCCACTGGTCGAATGCTTAACCATTCGGTCTCCAGCGGCAAAAGAGCAGACTGATGATTTCACAATAAGATAGGATACAACGTGGCTCATACTTCAGTCGCTTCAAATTTTCACTTACTGACGGGCTTGTTAAATGAGGACGTCTCAAATGGAAGACTAACTCATGTTGTGTGTGAGGCAGGACCGAGTGTGTGCCATCATCAGGCGAGATGGGAACACCGGTCAACGCTTGTGCTCTAGCTGAAGAATGTGGCATCAATGAAAGTACTCTAAGTTAGCGGTAAAATGTTGAACGTCATGAGTTTACTACTCTGAGAGCATTCATGATAATGAGAAAACAAAAGGAAAGTTTTAACATTGAAAAAGTCGAAGTTTTTGCCGGGGAAAACGACATATTAGGGCGTACTTTTAGTGAACTAGGTAAGTCCACCAACTAAGAGTGCACTAAATTCTCAGCACACTAAGTAAAACACGAGACAAGTCAGGATTACCGGTGCTTCATACTGCTACTCGAGTATTTAACGGATATTCACGTCAGTTAATATTCTATATTCGAATGGCTGAGCTTCTACTTCTGTTTTAGTAGACAGAAGTAAACACGACACATTTCTCTTGATTCATCGCCTGATTCAATTAGTAACATCCAATTTAATTTCAAGTTAAACTAAATGCATTTTCGTTAGACTGTTTCCCTTAAACAGTGTTCGTCGGCTTAGTAGCTAGCAGTGACAACCGAAAAACTGAAATAAGTCTTCACAGGGATATCTTTGTGACCACTGATCCAAAACCAGAACAATGGTGCAAGTCCGTGTTAGGGAATATATTACCAAACACGGTTGTGAGGAAAATCATTTGAGGTGCGGAGCGCATGTGCAGGCAAGTAGTGCACCACGTGCAGAAACAGCGAGTGCATACGAAAAAATTGATGTTGGCTTGAACAAATGTGTTCCGTTCAGTCTGGTTCAAGCACTTTCGTGCACTAAAATAAGATGTGAGATTTCACATGTGAAATTAAATTCCCTCAAACGCCACTCCAGTGCTGTCAATGTTTAAAACATCTTATTTCAGCAATGTTTGAAGCCCAAATTCGGTAAGACGTTTAGCACCCAGAAGAGATGGGGAATCTCCGCCATATTCCACATCCAAACAAATGAAATTAGGCCCAAGTAAGAAAACAATTGGCAGGTCTGTTAATTGTAGGCTTTAGTGGGATTTGTAGAATTAGTATTGAGATCCTTTTCTTCCGAACAGTCCGAACAATTTGAACAGAAAAACGAAACAAGTTTCTGCCTCTCACAAAAGTCCCACAAACTCACTTCATAAATGGGTGTTAACACGTCAAGAATTCAGTTATCAAAAATCACATATCGGATAATTGAAAACGGATGTAAAGACTAAATGCACTCCACCAGGATGACTTGGGCTAGTTTCATTTCACGGCAGTTTGTTGACCTGGGTCGTGTCATCACGTCAAATGTAATGGACGGGAAAACCTGTCAATGTAGCGCTCAGTTAATGTCAAACCGGACATGCGACGAAAACAGCATCAGTCAAATAGGTGTGTATACCGAATAGAAGTAGAGAATGCCAAAAAATTCTAGGTTGTACCGAGTTGAGTCAGTTTTGGGAATGCCAGTAAAACGAGAATTACTGTATGGAACTGTGAATGAGTCTGATAACTGCTCACCTCAGCCTTCTCATGAGTGGAAAAATGATGACACCGCTTCATTCTGCACGCAGCTTGCTTTTGAGCCTTCTAATTCCTAGCCGGAGGACAACTAGCAAGATGGAAATTTTTTTCACTCTGTTGGCTCCCAAAATATGATTTGTAATGGACAATCTGAAGATTATATTAGTTCATCCAAGACGCCATAGTGTGAAACGACCCGGTAAGCACACGAACGTCTGGTAATCTGTTCTACCTATATGCGTGAATTCCTATGTATAAATTAGTATCCGATAAATAAAATAAGGATATGATTGCTGCAACGGAGAAAGAACAGTCAGTTGAATGTACCAAGTGTTTAATGGGAGCAACTTACTTAATGAACATGATTAACCTAAAGATCGAGTGACAGAGCAAAAGAGGATTCCAATACGTTGCATCCTGTATGTCAAAATGTGTATTGCTCGCATGGAGATATAGTTCAAAGAAAATGATTTTAGGCTAAAAACCAACTTAAAGATTGTTTTGACTTCCAATGCACTTCAGGAATCGTCCTATTAGCCACAGTATAGGGCCAAAACCATTACGAAGAAGAGATTTGGGAACGTGATCCTGGAGACAGTCCAAGACTGAGTATAAAACAACAGCGTTTGACTTTGGCAGAAACGGTTCGTAGATGATAGCAACAGTTGACATCCTCAAATCGAACAACACCTAGGTTATCCCAGTCAAGGATCTCGTAGAATAGACATTCTCGGCCACGAACGGTGGAAAGCTATCACAAAAAAATTTGACTGCGCTTACCTGGTCTGAAAGAAAATGTAGTTTCCTGGCTTTTTAAGTGAGTTCATCAAGGATGTCCGTATAAGTTGATTCGTACTTCTGTGAGTTTATGAGCCGCAACATTCATAGGCATCCACAAAAACATAGGCACAGTGAAGCTGACGGAAGGATCCTTAAGTAAGAAGGTTGCGCATTAATAAAGGCGAAAATGAGATGAAACGTTGAAAAGTATCCAAGGGATCCATTGGTCAGATGCCGTCACGAGGAAAATCAAACGACACCATCAGCGGCAATAATGTGGTCCAGGGACAGTTAAAACACAAGTTAATGATCTTCGAAAGAGATACGT